AATTTGTACTGTGTTTCAAAATTCCATTGCACAAGAGTAGATGATGAAAATGAACACTGGTTGGCTCATGCGCGACCTTTGAGGTTGACATATGCTCACTTCAGAGGCTCTGGTCCCCATCCGTTCTCCAGGACTCCCACACTGCCTCTGTAGCCACCACTAGCATAGGAGTCAGTCGCTTCTGCTCCTGAGGACTTTATTACTATGAAATCAAAAAAGTTCTTATGGTAGCTACATGCAACAAAGCCCCCCTGAGCTACAAGGGAGACAAGATTTAGATCTTTAGCGACTTATCACCTATCACCCTGGCTAAACGTCGGATCCTACATCCTATCACCACTTATCTACAAAACCATTGAGTTATTTGCTGCTGGGGGTTCCCTTTATGTTTATCAGTCCCAAAAAGTTGGGGTGCAATACTCTATGCATGATATCCAGGAAAGCACGGCTTTTATATACAACTTGGGTTTACTACCTCTCTCTGAGGAAGCTCTTCTGCCTCCCCCTTCAACGCTGCACTGCTCTCCACTCTGGGCAAGATCTGGAATCCTGTGCAGCAGAAATCGCAAAAAGGATTCTCTACACCTCAACATGTTTCTTCTTCCAGGCACCCTACCTGAATGTCTCTGTTTACACCTCAGCTGTTTACACCTTTATGGGCAGACTTGGTGTTACCCATACACTAATGTTCCCTACCAAGGATTGATGTTCCACTCCCATGGGACATACAATGTTTTTCTTAAAAAGTTTCACCATTTTTAATGCAGTTCCTCTGAATAATTAGCCTTGTTCAGTTTCTAACTGGAGGACAATGGGACCTCCCTGCTGGATTTTGGAGGCGTCTATGCTCCTCTACACCATCCACGGCTATGGCCCTGGACTCCTGAGTCGCTTCAGCCTCTCAGGCTTCAAACTTACGTATATTTCTTTTTTCCTCAGGTCTTTTTTTTACCTGATTTTGACTCCATTTATTGACTTTTATGCTGACATTTTCTACTTGCTGATTGTTCATCTGTTATTGGTTTACTTCTTCACACCACGGGTTTCTCACCGTATATACAGTATGTCATCTGGTTTATACTTGCATACACCCTAATTATGTGTCATGGCTTTATGAGTTCTTTCTTATAATGTGAAAGGCATCTTATAAGAGATGGCTTGCTTTAAAAGAGTTCAAATCTTTGACTGCTGATGTGGTCATGGTTCAGGAGACTCACTTCTGTGCCAGTGGTTCGTTTAAGTTCACATCTAAACATTTTCCCACAATCGATGTAGCCTCAGTTCCTTTTAGGAAGGCTTGTGTAGGGACTTTAACTAGAAGATTAGAAGTTCATGTCTATTGCAGATCAAATCCTCCTTCCTTGATCTTCAAGGCAGGTTTATTTTCCTGAACAGTGACTTAATTGCATCCTCTCTCACTCTGGTTAAGATATAGGCACCCAACTTGTGTGATAGATTAACACTTTTTCAGTCTACTCCATCTGTTAAAGTCAATAGAATGCTTCCTTTCGTAAAATTGTTAGAGCTCACACCCATCTCGATGCATGAAGGGTTAAACATCCTACTCATAACCAGTTTACACCCTCTCATAAAACCCTATGCAAGACCAAACTTTTTTTTTTTTTGTAACGGCACCTTTATTAAGAAATATGGCAGCTTCCGAAATCAACCCTAATACCTAATCAAGTCACACATCCATACTTTTAGATCTAAGTCTGTCCACCCCTACTTTTAAGTCCTATTATTGGTACCTCAATTAATCTTTGTTACATATCTCCTCTATTAATGACCAACTATTAATGCCAATCTATTAATGACCAACACAAGGGCTGTCAGAATTTTTTTAGATAAACAAGGGCACAGTGCCTGAGGCTTCTGCCTTATGGGTAGCACATAAAGCTTTTTTTGGGGATGAATGCATTTCTGCGGGGTTTCATTTGAAAAAAGAAAGCAATCTTTAATGGACCTCCCTTCTCACTCAATTACACAAATTGGAAACTTTGCTACTCCTCTCCCCAGTGATGGAACACTTACGCGCTGTTGTCTCCCTCTATAATTGCATCAAAACCTTGGACATGAATAAGACTATTAAATATTTATTATGGGCTAAGCAGGATTTCTATGAGTATACAAACAAGCCCCATAGGATGCTTGTACACAAACTCAACCTTCGACCTTTCCTCTCCTTTCCAGATTTCTTACTCCCATCTGACAGAACTCCAACATTTTGCCCCTAGTTGTTTGGTGATTTTTACCAAGCTGTATAATTGTTTGAATTCTGACTCACAGTTTCAGTTTACACAAGAGAAATCTGATGCATTGTTTACCTCACTTCACCCAATGTCCTGCTCTTGTCCTGAGTTTAGACTCTCAAAAAGCATTTGATTACTTGAATTGGCCCTTTATGTTTTTCTACCCTATCCGATTATGTTTTTGCAGGCCCTTCTTTACAAGCTCTACAAGCTTTATACTCATGACCTACATCCCAGGAACAGCTGGCTTCCTCTTTGTCGCAAACATTCACAATTTCAGTTTACACAAGAGAAATTTGATGCATTTTTTACCTCATTTCACCATCCTAAATTATCTTCCGGTAATCAATTTAAACTGAATTCAGCTATTACTGCTGAAGAATTGGTGGGGGATTGTTAAACACTTGCCGTCACATAAATCCCTTGGCCCAGATGGACTGTCATATTCTTACTATAAGTCCTTTCTTCCAATTTTAACCCTATACATGTTAAATATTTTTGTGTCCTTAAAGAAAGGTACTGTTCCCCCTCCCAATTTTTACATGCTTTCATCACAGTCATACCAAAACTGTGCAATAATCCATAATAATTACTAACCCATTGCTTTGCTCAATTCAGACTACACATTTTTTCTAAAAATTTAGCCAATAGACTTACACAGATGCTCCATAGGAATCAGACCTGATTCATCCTTGCTAGACATGCATGGTGCCTATGGTGCCGCTCCGCAAATGCCCGGCCAGCGTTTGCCGTGCGGTTGCGACACGGTTGTGGGGTGTTTGCGGAACGTTAACACCATTCAAACTTTATTATCAGTGTTTGTGGGGCATTTTTAACGCTTGGCAAATGCCTAGCAACTGCCGCTAAACCGCGCATGTGGCGTTTGTGGAGCGTTGAAAACGCTCCGCACATGCCGGACCAACGCTTGTCAAACGCTATAGGCAAGAGTTGGAAAAACAGTCAAGTATGAACGAGCCCTTATGATCTAGAGGGGGCTTAAAGGCACCAGCTATACTTATATATTATGCTACACATTTGCGAGCTGTTGTTTCTTGATCCTCTCACTATGCTCCAAATAGATAGAAATTGAAATGGAAATCACAAGTCCTGTGCTCCCATGTTCTATGCTGTGGTCAACTCTCCATAAGTCTATATCTTAACTACGGAGTCTTTGTTTCGCTTCCATGTTGTTTACTTTATCAACATAAAACAAGTATTTTAAAAGGTACTCTCCTTGTTCCCTATGCCCTCCACTTCTGAACGTTCTCTTTAGTCCAGACGTCCCAGATAGCTTATCTTATTGTTGAATGCACCCTACGACTTGTAAATTCGTACCCATTGCAGAACTTCAAACTAAATATCATGTTCCGAAACAACTTTTTTATTCATACATCCAAATTAAACAATTTTTTTCTTCTAAGTTCCCTTTTCTATCTCTTGATTAACCCACTAGCTTTGAACTTTTATGTGCTAGAGGCCCTTATAGACCACATTTAATTTCCACTATATCTTAAATTCTACATGAGACCAATCCACAATCTGAGAATAGTCTCGCTTATTTGTGTATATGGGCCTACATTCTTAATCTCCCTATTTCCCTTCTACAATGGGACAAAATATGGGAAGATACCTCCAAGGTTTCACAGTGTGTGGAGCAGAAAGAGACTGCCTATAAAATTCTTCTGTTTTGGTATAAAACTCCTGATATTTTTCATGTTCGCGATCCAGAGTTTTCTTGGCTGTGCTGGAGATGCAATAATGCAATAGGCACCCATTATCATATTTTCTGGGAATGCCCCATCATTGAACCATGCTGGGCCTAGTTTCAGTCTCTCTTGCAAAACCTTCTTGATACAGTTACACCTTTAAACTCCATGCACCATTTGCTGGGTCTGCCTTATCTAGGTATCTCTAAGCATGCAAAGAGACTGATGGCTTTGTTTTATTAGCTGTAAAAAGAGTTATACCATCCTGTTGGCTATCCGCTTCTTCTCCCACACAAGGACAACTTTTATCCACTCTAGGTGAGATCAACAGGATGGAATACCTTATAGCGAAGGTAGAAGGCTTGCTGTCAAAATTTACAAAAATTTGGTATACTTGGGATGGCTCAGAGTATTATCTTGAAAGAGTTACATCAGATTCTCAGTAGTCTACCTCTTATGTCTCTCTAACCTGATTATTCATTAATAGACTCCCCTGACCCACGAAACCCATGGTGTTCCATTTTGTTATTTTTTTAGTCCTTTGTGACTTAATATTCCTATATATCTGTTCATTGCATATATATGAATTGCTGTTATTGGAGTTTAATGATGTATGCTCCTCTCCTCCACTGAGCCCATTATGTATGATGTAACTCTTCCTTGTCCACCCAATATGTTGGTGTAGTTACACTATATTGGCAAAAGTACAGGGACTCCTGCTTACAGATGCACATGAACTTTAATGGCATCCCAGTCTTAGTCAGCAGGGTTCAATATTGAGTTGCCCCACCCTTTGCAGCTATAACAGCTTTAACTCTTTTGGGAAGGCTGTCCACAAGGTTTAGGAGTGTCTATGGGAATGTTTGACCATTTTTCCAGAAGCGCATTTGTGAGGTCAGGCACTGATGTTGGACGAGAAGGCCTGGCTAGCAGTCTCTGCTCTAATTCATCCCAAAGATGCTCTATTGGGTTGAGGTCAGTCAATCAGATTGCCAGACAGAGAAGCATGATTTGTCACTTCAGAGAACACATCTTCAAAGCTCTAGAGTTCAGTGGCAGCATACTTTACACCACTGCATCCAAAGCTTTGCATTGCACTTGGTGATGTAAGGCTTGGATTCAGCTGTTTGGCCATGGAAACCCATTCCTTGAAGCTCTCTACACACTGTTGTTGTGCTTATATAAAGGCCAAATGAAGTTTGGAGGTGTTTAGGTATTGACTCTGCAGACAGTTGGCAACTTCTGCGCAATGTGCGCTTTAGCATGTGCTGACCCTGCTCTGTCGTTTTACATTGCCTACCACTTCTTGGCTGAGTTGCTGTTGTTCTCAGTTGCTTCCACTTTGTTATAATACCACTAACAGTTGACTGTGGAATATTTAGTAGCAAAGAAATTTTACGGATGGACTTATTGCACAGGTGGCAACCTATCACGGTACCACGCTTGAATTCACTGAGCTCCTGAGAGCGACCCATTCTTTCACAAATGTTTGTAGAAGCAGTGTGCATGCCTAGGTGCTTGATTTTATACACCTGTGGTCATGGAGGTGATTGAAACACTTGAATCCAATGATTTGGAGGGGTGTCCCAATTCTTTTGGCAATATAGGTGTCCATTTATGACACAGAGAATAGCTGTGATTCAGAGGATTGCAGCTATTATCTGGTCATTTTCAGTTTATGATACTCAGGAGATCAGCGGAGAACATGTTCAGCCTTTCACTGGAGATTTGTGTTCTCCCTCCAGATTCCCCAGCCCAGAGCTGGAGAATCAGAGGGACCGCAAACTAAGCAGCGATAATTTACCTCTGCTTAGTAAACTGATCTTTTACTGTAATCTCGCGAGATTATAGTAAAATCAGCCGTTTTCCAGCATTTGTAGACCGTTCTCCCTTCGTTTGGAGAACTGATCTACACCGTTTCATAAAAGGCATTCACAGGAGAACTGTGTTCTCCGAGAATGCCGGAGAACTGAGCAGCGATCTATTACCGCTGGTTCATAAACGGACGCCATAGTGTATATGTTCCCTTTACACCTTTTTCTGTCACCAATTTTTGTATTTCCTGAAAACTCTTAATAAAAATACAATTAAAAAAAAAATGAACACTGATTCTGAGCCCAGAGATTCTACCAGCCAGATTTTCATAGTAGTTCATAGTAGACCACAAGGTAATAACGAAAGTTTCAATCTCCAGTATTTGCACTCCTCAATTATCTGTTTAATCTACTTTGCGGAGAATCCATTGCGACACACCATCATTTGGCTTTGTTCTGGCTGCAGCATTTGTACAGAAGTTCGACTTCTGGTGGGGATATCTCTCTGCTTCATTCCCCAAGATATATAAAAAGGCAGCAAAGTTATTAAACGTGTCATGTAAAGTTGAAATGTCAGCACTGTGGAAAGTTTGCTAAAACTAAAATATGTATTTAAAACGATTTTCAGATTTATATTTAGTTTGCTAAATATTATAAAAAACAAAACAGGGTCTTTGTTTTCCTACTTTATCATTGTCCTCCATGACTTTATGTATAATTCAGTCAGACTGTTCATACGTTCCAGTTCCCTGTAGGTGTCAAGAAGCTGCATTGTAAAAATATTATATTGCTTAGTGGCTATGTCAAACACTGGCAATATATCACTGTTAAAGATACTGTAGGGGGTAATCAGATAAACTGCAGTCGGTGGAAGATTTTGTGTAAGAACCTGTACTTTGCAGCATATTGGATTCTGTCTTCAGTCTCATCATACTGATCGCCGTTAAGCAATGCTTTCTAACTACAGCATCAATTTATAGGACAACCCATGAATTACTGTATATTATAGAAAGAAAAAACAAGCCTGGAATACACAGCACATCATAAACAAGCCTGGAATAAACAAGACATCAGGACCAGGCCTTGGCAATCTGCTACACAAACACATTGTTCCTATTTGGGAGGACACGTACAGAATCTATAAAGTAACACAAAGAACTATATTGGTTAGTATTTGGAATCTTTTAAAGTAGCTCCACAGCCAAAAACAACAAGATAAAAATGAATAGCCCATTAAAAGAAAATCAACTTTTGCAGCAACCTTTACCATCAATCCACAAATTTTCCCCTGCAGCACTTTTTTTCTACCACAAGACATTCCTAGTCAGCATTCAACCCATTACTCTGATCCCAGGTTGTCCTGGACCTATTCCAGTCTGTGACTGGATAATGAAAGGAGAAGCAGCACAGTGATGAGCTCATCTTACTGTCACTCTGCTTTATCCTCCTATCAGCATGGTTCTTTTCAGCACATCTTTTTTTTTTTTTACTAAAAAAGATAGATGAATACATTTTGGCCAAGATTTATGAAGAAAGATTATTTATTTGCAAAATGTTATAAGAAAAACACTTTTGTTTTCAAAGTGTTTGGACTTTTTTCATTTATATAGCAAAAAAATAAAAATCCCAGTGGTGAATAAATACCACCAAAGTAAAGTTTTATCTGTCTCCAAAAATTCTAAAAAATTCATATGGGTAAAGTGTTGCATGACCGCGCAATTGTCATTAAAAGTGTGATAGCACTGAAAGCTGAAAATTGGCCTGGGCAGGAAGGGGGTAAATGTGTCCGAACTTGAAGTGGTTAAATTTGCCTCTCAGGATTTTTTGCCATCTACATCTACATTCCAGCAGGAGAATATTTCATCACTTTCTGCCCTGACATAATAGTATAGACATAATAGAAGTTAAAAAGAAATAGTGAAAAATAAAGTGAGGGGAAATCGCCTCTTAGACAGTTACTGTGGAAATTGTGGCTCTTGGAACATTTCCCATGTAAGCCTGTTCGGAGGACAACTCAAAATTATTAATTTCTCAATGCTTTAAGAATAGACTTCAAGACAATTACATGGAGTGAAACCTCCTTATAGGAGACACAGACAGGAATTCTGGCTAATCAGCATTGTATTCAAACTAAAAAAAACCAAAACAAAAAACACATTTTTGACTTTATAAATACTTTAAACCTTTACAACATTTGCAGTTAACACAGCTTTTTTTAAGCTTTATGTAATTTTGCAGAAACAAAAGGTGCATCTAAAACAATACAAGCACAGTTTATGTAGAAGTTACATCATTTTACTGGGTCGATAGAAATATTCACTGATGGACTTTTTGAACCCTATGTTCCTGCATACTATGTTGGTTACCAATGAAGCTCACTATATATCCTGCATAGGTTTGGTAAAACTAAATGACGTTCTGCAGAAATTGTGCAATCAGATTATAATGTGTATCTCCACTTTTGCATTCAAATTTGAGAAACACTTACTATGTGTGTGTTATGTGTCCCCATTCACACAGCATACCTTACAAATAATTTTAAAATATTATTTGTTACCTTTGTAGTTGTTTTTTTGAAACAGGCTTATACATAGTAAATATTTTGAAATGAATCTGCGTTGTGATAACATGAGTGGCCTCTGGCAAACAACATTTTTATATAACCAAACGTAAAAACGTACAATATTGTGAAATGATGCATCGCCTGTGAATAAAACAAAAATGTCCTTAAAAAAGTAGATAAACAGTATTCAATGTGCTAAACATAAAGTCTCTATTAAATCAAAGTCCATACACACTATATGGCCAAAAGTATTAGGACGCCTGCCTTTACACACAAATTAATTTTAATGGCATCCCAGTCTTAGTTCGTAGGGTTCAATATTGAGTTGGCCCACCCTTTGCAGCTATGACAGCTTCAGCTCTTCTGGGAAGGCTGTCCACAAGGTTTAGGAGTGTGTCTTTGGGAATGTATGACCATTCTTCTAGAAGCACTTTTGTGAGGTCAGGCACTGATGTTGGACAAGAATACTTGGCTTGCAATCTCTGCACTAATTCATCCCAAAGGTGTTCTATTGGATTTCTCCCTGCAGTCTTCTGGGACAGTTCACAGGTTCCTCAAGGAGTCACAGCCAGATTTCCTTAATAAGCATGCCAGAACTGTGTTGTGTGTACTTTCAGCTCATACAATCCACAAAAATCTTAGTTGCTGGCAGACACCCCTTATCAGCCTGTTAATAGGGCTAGCAGACTCTAACCCCCAATATACATCGTAGGGCCCATAAAGTGTCTAACATAGCTGCTTCAATGATCAGAAAGTTACTATACATTGGGTCATAAATACCTTAGTTGGAAGACAGGAGAATACACATCTCTGATGGACTGGTTCTCAGCCAAGACTAAAATAATAACAGCACAACCAGAATATAGACATATTTACCTCCCTCAGATATTGGGTAGCATTTTGAACCAAACATCCTTATACTAGGATGTACCAGATTGGATTAGACATCCACCTCCCTCCTATGAGAAATAGATATCTGAGACCTGCCACATATACATTTATTTTGCAGCTAATTTCATGATGGACAATAATATGCCTAGTAGGCGACTGTACCCTGCAGATATTCAGAGTTATTAAAACATATGGAAAACTATACCGGGGACTTGGTCATAAACAAGTGGCATCCCAGGGCCCCTCCCCAGCCATGCAATTGGTCAGATGGTCTCTGTCACTACTCCCCTTGATGTCAGATCAAAAAGAGATTACAAGCAGATTTGACAGCTTTTGTTTTAACATCAACCAAGGAACACCTAACCAGACTTGAGAGAGCCACTGCACCATTTTTGCTTGAACAATTGGACCAAGGACTTTGCAAGTATTCTTCATTCTCAACTCCTTCTTAATTCTCTGTTGCTTTATTGTTCTCTTTGTTTCTGTGTAACACCCTTTTTCTATAAATATTCCATTTACACCATTTTTACCTTTTCGTTAGTAAACCCTATTTTGAAAAGTGTTAAAACTGTCCCTAAGGCTTTTAATGCGAGCTAAAAGAATCCCTGTCTCTTGAAGAGTGCTACTGTAATAGAATCCTCTGAATATACCTGTCTGTGGTAACAGTGTGTATTGCAGACATGTATTCTAAAATCATAGTTGTTATTGCTAAGATTATAAGTTTCCTCCTTCTCAGTTAAAAGGTGTTGATGGTAGCTTAAAGAGTTAATTGCTTAGTAACTTAACCCAGTGACAATCACTCTCAGGCTGCTGCACCTAGACTGTGGTCCAGTAAGCTGGAAAATATTTGTGCAGGGTGCAGCTGAAAGTGGTATTGTTATGTGAGTGACAGCATGGTGTGAGATTGGCTGGTCCTTTACCACAAGTGAGGACAACGCTGGATCCCTGGACAGGTAAGTGTACTTTAATTAAATGTCAGCAGCTATAGTATTTGCAGTATTTGTTTTTCAAAGGTGAAGATCCTCTTTAATAATATATTCAACTACTTTTTTTTACCTTTTTAACATCTTGCTCTTTAACCCCTTGACGCCTATGTCACACAAATATGCGGCCTCATGGAACTGGGCTTTTTTCCATGGGGCCGCATTATTGTGTACCTGTCTTTGTGCTGAGAGCGCGCCTCACTGCGTGCTCCCAGCACAAAGACCGCGGTATCACTGAGAGCCCTGGGTCCCATTCTAACAATTGGGACCCGGGACTCTCGATTCCAGGTCACATGATCGCTGTGATAGCCTCTGATTGGCTATCACAGTGATCAGTCACTGTGCAGCCCGACCCCTTGTTTTTTTTCTCTCTCTATGAATGGAGAAGACAGATACATTGTATCTCCCTAACTCCTGGCATAGAGAGAAAAAAAACTGTTTGTAAAAAAAAAAAAAAAAAAGATAAATAAATAAATAAATATTAAAAAATAAAATAAAGAAAAAATACCTAGATCAAGGTTAGATCTAGTTCAGTGCCAGGGTTATTGTTTGGGTCAAGGTCAGGGTCACAGGTCAAGGTCAAAATGTCAGGGTCAAAGGTCAAGGTCAAAATGTCAGGGTCAAAGGTCAGGATTTTAAAAAAATTGGTATCAGTGCCAGTTTGTGTCAATGTCAGTGTCAGTGTGTTTTAGGTAAAAATAAATAAAATTTGCACTATTGTTTCTGGGCTGCACTACAGATACAAACAAACAAATAACATACACATATATGGTATCACTGTGATCGTCAAGAGCTGGAGAATTTATTTTGGGTTGTTTTATGGTAGGAAGGTTATGGTAGTAACAAGAAACACACAGCTAAAAAAAAAAAAAATGGGTTTTTTTTACTATTTTGGGCCACTTTTCCTTTGATAATAAAAAAAAATCAGGAGATATCCATTACCATTTACCACCAAATGAAAGCCCAATTTGTCCTGAAAAAAATGCAATATAATTACAATGTAGTTGTGATGATATGTACGGTTTTACTAACACATGTCAATGTTGCAAAATTGTGCTTAGGCATTTAGATTTGTTTTACCCTTAGGCGTGAAGGGGTTAAGTTTGTACATGCATTTCATTTAATAAGTCACAAAAGAGCTATCACACATTCTCATGTAATCAGTGTATCTTTGTTCAAACAACACATGAAATCCCAAGTTTTATCATTTCTGATACATATAGGTGTTACAAAGTGCACAGAGCTCACAAACGCTATATAACAAACATATTTAGTTACAAAGACAATCTTGTATAAATATCACCGCTTACATGGGTTCACATTATCCTTTATAATTAAACATTTGTTTTTAGGTCAGGGACAAAAAAATTACAGAGTCTACTAAAAACTCATATTTCAGTTAGGCTGGATGCTGTTGAGTTTAATGTTGCCTTGTTGAATACTCACAAGGACCTCAGTGATTAGGTTTTCCTTTTGGAGTTCCCAGCACTGGTCTGCTGACCATAGAGTATCAATCCTCTGCTGCATCCTCCTATTTACTGTATAATTGTGATGAAAGATGCAGTAAGAGGAGTGAGGCTTGCTTGTGCTAGTCATGTTAGAGATCTGAAGCTAACCATACAAAATACATTCTACTAAAATCTCAATATGATTTATTACTGTGTAGTATCAGGACATATCTGACTGGGTACAACTTAAATGGATTGTTTAGGTAAGCCCTCACATTACATAGGCATCCATTAAAAAAGTTGTTGTGGGGCCTTATCATTGACATTCTGTTGCTTTAAAAAAATTGTCTTACAAATGGGCTTACAGCTCTGTTGACAGCGGAGTGCTATTAAAATGAATGAAGAGGGAAATGGGAGGAGAGACCTGTCACATAACCTGTCAAAAGTCATATGATGGCCTCTTCTTTAATTAGAGTTCTCTCTGCTGTATTAAAGAGGAAATTAACTCTGGAAGCATTCCCAAAAAAAAGGCAAGCATAGGGTAAAGGACTAAACACTGCGTATCCTGCATAGGTTTGGTAAAACTAAATGATGTTCTGCAGAGCTTGTGCAATCAGATTATAGTATGTATCTCCACTTTTGCAGTCAAATTTGTGAAACACTTACTATGTGTTTGTTATGTGTCCCCATTCACACAGCATACCTAACAAAAATAATTTAAAATAAATATTTCTTATCTTTCTAGTTGTTTTTTTTAAACAGGCTTATACATAAAAGATATATTGTAATGAATCTGCGCTGTGATAACACTGGTGGCCTCTGGCAAACAAAGTTTTATATACCCAAACCTAAAAACTTACAATATTGTGAAATTATGCATCACCTGTGAATATAACAACAATGTACATTAAAAAAAAGTAAATAAACTGTTGAATGTGCCAAACATAAAGTCTCTCTTAAATTAAAATCCATATACACTATATAGCCAAAAGTATTGGGACGCCTTCCTTTACACGCACATGAACTTTATTGGCATCCCAATCTTAGTCCATAGGGTTCAATATTGAGTTGGCCCACCCTTTGCATCTATAACAGCTTCAACTCTTCTGGGAAGGCTATCTACAAGGTTTGGGAGTGTGTCTATGGGAATGTTTGACCATTCTTCCAGTAGCACATTTGTGAGGTCAGGCACTGATGACAAGAAGGCCTGGCTCGCAATCTCTGCTCTATTTCGTCCTTCTTTATGGACCTTGCTTTGTGCACTGGTGCACAGTCATGTTGGAACAGAAAGGGGCCATCCCCAAACTGTTCCCACAAAGTTGGCAGCATTAAATTGCCCAAAATGTCTTGGTATGCTGACTCCTTAATGTGTTACTAAACGCACAACAGTAAAATCAGCCTGTATATGCAGTAATGCATGCTTGTTATACTCACTATGGAACCTAAGGGGTTAATCTAATCCTCTGCATTGTGTAAAAAGGCCTTCTCTGCTCCTCTTCTGTTCAGATGTCCACATCTTATCTCCTGATAAGACAGACTGAACCGTAGCCATTCTGCACCTGCTCATTTTAGTATATATTGCGAGAGAGATTTTTTTTTTTGTTTCTTGGGAGAATGCATGTGATCAGCACATGGCCAATCAGCACTCTGCAGACAGAGGTCAGGGGTTTTGCATCCTCCTAGAGCAGAAAGAAAACTCCTCCAACAAGCTTTAACCTGAACACTGATAGAAGTCACACGACTGCTCTAACTGCTGACGAGAAAAGGTATTTAGAAGTTTCTATTTACTAAAATAATTGCATTTCCATGTTCTGTGTACTGGAGGAGACCAGATATAGTGAATGCAGGACCCTGGGTTTAGTAACACTTTAAGAGTTCCCTTCACTGGAACTAAGGGGCCAAGCCCAACTCCTGAAAAACTACCCCCCACCATAATCCCCCCTCCACCAAACTTTACACTTGGCACAATGCAGTCAGGCAAACACTGTTCTCCTGGCAACCGCCAAATCCAAACATGTCCATTGGATTGCCAGACAAAGAAGCATGATTCTTCACTGAAATTCATCCCAAAGGTGATCTATTGGGTTGAGGTCAGGACTCTGTGCAGGTCAGTCGAGTTCCTCCACCCCAAACTCAAACTCACTCATCCATGTCTTTATGGACCTTGCTTTGAGCACTGGTGCACAGTCATGTTGAAACAGGAAAAGGCCATCCCCAAACTGTTCCCACAAAGTTGGGAGCATGAAATTGTCCAAAATGTCTTGGTATCCTGACACCTTAAGAGTTCCCTTCACTGGAACTAAGGGTCCAAGCCCAACCCCTTAAAAACAACCCCACACCATAATCCCCCTGCATCAAACTTTACACTTGGCAGAATGCAGTCAGGTATGTACCATTTTCCTGGCAACCGCCAAACCCAGACACATCCATCAGATTGCCAGACAGAGAAGAGTGATTCATCACTCAAGAAAACATGTCTCCACTGCTCTAGAGTCCAGTACGTGCTTTAAACCCCTGCATCCGAAACTTTGAATTGCACTTGGTGATGTAAGGCTTGGATGCAGCTTGTTGCCCATGCAAACTCATTCCATGGAGCTCTCTACACACTATTGTTTTGCTAATCTGAAGGCCACATGAAGTTTGGAGGTGTTTAGCTATTGAATCTGCAGACAGTTGGTGACTTCTGCGCAATGTGCGTTTCAGGATGCGTTGACCTTGCTCTGTCATTTTACGTGGCCTACCAGTTCGTGGCTGAGTTGCTGTTATTCCAAGTTGCTTCCACTTTGTTATAATACCACTAACAGTTGACTGTGTAATATTTAGAAGCAAGGGAATTTCATGGATGGACTTATCGCACAGGTGGCAACCTATCACGGTACCATGCTTGAATTCACTAAGCTCCTGAGAGCGACTCATTCTTTCACGAATGCTTATAGAAGCAGTCTGCATGCCGATGTGCTTGATTTTATACACCTGTGGCCATGGAGCTGATTGGAACACCTGCATCCAATGATTTGGAAGGATGTCCCAATGCCTTTGGCAATACAGTGTATATTCAAATAAAAAAGATCTTCCACCATCTAGTAGATCCTTGTACCTTAATCAAATGCACACTCACCAGATTATAAATTGTAACAAGTACAGCTGACACAATATGTTTCTCAAATCCTCTCCAGGTGTATGCACTTCCACTCCGTAATCATTCCTCTTAGGCAAAAGCAAAAGGCAACTCCCACTGGAACAGATAGAGCTCACCAAGGAGCCAACAGAAAGCCAGTAAAAATGTAGTAGTTTAAAAAAGGTTTACTATAGAACAGAGCCAGTCATCCAGGTAAAACAATGTGGCAGTGACCTGGAATCGTGCAGTAGTGTGATGTCAGCACTAACAGGACAGTCTCAGTGCTGACGTCATGCTGCTGCATGATTCTGGGTCATCAGCACCTCTTTTAGTGAGTTTTTTACTATTTTTTTTAACTACCACATTGTTTTAACTGGATAGATGCTCTTCTACAAATAAACTTTTATTTAAACTACTATACTATCACTGGCTTTCTATTAGCTCCTTGGTGGGCTCTATCTGTTCCAGTGAGAGTTGCCTTTTGCTGTTGCCTAAAACGAGTGATTCCCAAAGTGAAAGTGCCTACATCTGTGGAGGATTTGTGCCTAAGAAACATGCTGTGTCTGCTGTACTTGTTACAGCTTATGGTCTAGTGAGTGTGCATTTGATTACAGTGTTGGCACTCAGTGTTTTCGTTACACTATAAGGATCTATTGGATGCAGGAAAATCTTTATTTGAATATATATGGACTTTGATTTAAGAGAGAGTTGACATTTGGAATATTGAACACAGTTTATTTTTTGTATTGTTTTTGTTATATTTGCTGGCACTGCATCATTTCCTTATATTGTAGGTTTATACATAGGGCAAGCTATTCTGAACAATTTCAAAGTGCAATTAAAAAGATGAAGTGAGGACAAGTGCATCTGCATACAATGCATCACCCAATGCCTTGTTAATATTTGGTTAAAACAGACAGTGTGCAAATCTTTAAAACAGATAATGAGATTTGCCAGTACAGTACATTTTGGTACACAACTCCACAGCCCCCTCCTTGCCATTACATAGAAGGAGAAAGCTGGGTAGGATTTTAAGCAAGTAAAAATGTATATAGCAAACATTTCTTAGTTATGCTATGTCAATGGAACCACGTAACAAATATAGTAGCTGTTACCCCAATCTGGCTGGTGGAAAACACTTTAAAGTGGTATTAAACCCAATATCAAAACATCTATTGCAACTTACCAATATGTATGTTTGGTGGCTGCATTTGTATTCTTTTTTAGACTTTTATTTTCTTTATTCTCTCCTGGTGATCCAGCCAGTAATTGACTTCCTGTCTTATGGTGTCTCCACATTGAATGCAGGAGCATAGAGAAACCATAGAAGAGCAGCAATGACAAACTGTGGAAAAGGTAGCATTAGATATACTAGTAGATTTAGATGGACTTGACTAACAAATATCAGCTGAACTCCACGTAACACTTTTTAAGCAGGAGTTTTCTTTTTCTTTGGATAAAGATTTTATATAAATGAATAAAAGCTGACCATTGTAACCACCCCTGTCAGTATTAAATGGTTTATCTAAGGGCTCAAACTGCCAGTTTTATTGGACAGTGTGGTTCATTAATGGAATTTTGAAAATAACAGACTTACTGGCCTTTGAAAATAAAGGAAAAAAAACTAAAAAAAAAAGAAAACCCATGCAGCCACGACATTTAAGGAGCTACACTATGATCATTTGTTCTTTCTTGTCAGTTTAATACCAGCTTAACTGCTTACCCACTGCCATAAAGCAGATATACTACATGGATGTCAATCACCAGGTCCGGGCCGGTGATTACCCGCTGGCACCCGGTCATTACCGACAATCACCGACTGGAAGACTGTTTTGTTTACAAACAGTCTTCCTACCTGCCAGCTCGGGCACACTGCTCGGAATGGCTGTGCACAGCACAGCCATCCTGATCAGTGTGCTTATAGTGAAGCACGCCCCCCCCCCACCCCCTAGTAAAACACTCCCTACACAAAGGTAACCCTTTGATCACCCCTTACATTAACCCCTTCCTGCCCAGGGTCATTAGTACAGTGTCAGTGCTGTTTTTTAGCACTGATCACTCTATTGGTGTCACTGGGGATGTCAGTGACACCAAGTTAGTTCCCCCCCAGTGTCGGAATGCTTGCCACAGTCCCGCAGTCCCACTAAAATTTGCTGACCATTACTAGTAGAAAAAGAAATAAATCCCAGTATCTATACTGCCATTTGTAAACTCTATAACTTTCACATAAACTAATTCATTTACATGTATTGAGATTTTTTTTAGCAAAGACATGTAGCAGAATACATTTTGGCCTAAATTTATGAAAAAATCTGATTTTTTTATTTTTTACTGGACATGTTTAATAGCAAAAAGTCCAAAATGATGTTTTTTTCTCAAAATTGTCAGCCTTTTTTTGCTTATAGAGCAAAAAATAAAAAATGCACAGGTGATCAAATACCACTGAAAGAAGGCTCAATTCATGGGAAAAAAGGACATAAATGTCATCTGGGTGCAGCGTTGCATGACCGTGCAATTGTCAGTTAAAGTAACGCAGCACCGTAATGCAAAAAATGGCCTGGTCAGGAAGGGGGGTAAATCCTCTGGAGGGAAAGTGGTTAAGCAGATGCTGGATGTATCCAGTAACTATTGAGAGCCAAATTTTCCGCTTTAGATAGACAAGCCCCCAGTATATTTTGAGTTATGGGTTACAAGTTTTTGCTGTATTTATAGTAATGACATGAATATGCCAATGGTGGAATTTCTGTAAACACCCACTAGTCATTACATAGCAATCCAAGTGATCCAAGCAACACTACCAGTAAAACATTCAGGCTAAAACATAGACTAATATTTTGGTTACAGAGATTTCCCAGTTTATGTAGTTAGTGTTTTTTTTTATTGCAATTCTGTAATTAATTGTCCATCTGATCCATATGACTACAGTCATAATTTAAAAAAAAGTCACATTTTCAACAAAAAAATCTTAGAGTATGCTAAGCTCTTCTTGGTTTCACACAACATATTTTACATACAAAAGTTGTACAAGTCATTGTAATGTTAATAAAAGGCAGCAAGCTGTTTACTGTTATTGACTGCAACAATAATTTAACAACAAATATGTCCACAGAATCAAGTCTGTATTCTCCATGTTTACCAAGGCATTCTCAGTTATATTTGTTAAGACACTTAATTTACAACTAAAGCTAAAAGAGAAGATAGACATCACCTGTAAATGTATGTTATATTAGATTATGTTTACTTAGTATTTTCTTTTAACAACAAGAGATACAGATGTGCCTGTGATGAAGATTAAAAGTCTCCCACATGTGAATGTTTTTGTAATTGACAATATATAGTAGGGTGGGAGGTTCTCAGTTGGGTCAAGCTACACATTATGCACTGGCTGTCCATGTCTACAACCCTTACAAGTAGATGTTAGAAATAGGAGTTGGAGCTAAAAATTGCAGAAAAGGATGTAACATTATTTTGTTTAACATAATATCGACATGGCATCTGGCATATTGAAGTTGTACTTCAGGAACAGAGGATGGTGGTGACACATACTAACAAATACTTAGAAAAGTGAAATGATGAAATTCACATAAAATATTTATAAACGGTGCTCCACATGCCATACATACAGTACACAATTACAAAATATTCTGTGACTTATGTGACAAATGCATAAAGATCTAGTCTACTTAGTGATGTGGGTGGATGCTGTAGGTCTAAATCACCACTGGCTTATTTCTTGAGAATGCCCCCAATGTATTCTTCATAGTTAAAAAAAAAGTAAACCTCAAAACCAGAACAATGAGAATCCCCCATCTCCCATTATAATGGTCAGTACATGTACTGAGGAAAGTGGAAAAAAATAGTTCTGGACCTGTAAGGTTATATTATTGGTATTGCTTAAAGCAGGGGTTTCCAAACTTTTTAAACAAAGGGCCAGTTGACTGTGCTTAAGGCTTTAGGGGTCCAAACTGTGGCCAGTGTGAATGTCCCAGCACCAGTTAGAGTAAACACTGCTCCACCATTAGTTTTAACAGAAGGAATAGTGCCCCATTGTTGGCTTTAGCAGGAGGAATAGTGAACCATGGTTGGTATCAATTGAAAACATAGTGTCCAATAGATGGTGTCAGGTGGAGAAATAGCACCCCATCATTGGTCTTAGCAGGAAGAATAGTGCCCCATCGATGGTATCAGTGGGAAGAAGAATGTCCCATTAATGGTGAAAGTAGAGGAATGGTGCCTCATCATTGGTGTCAGTTGGAACAAGTGTCCTAAGGGCCGGACAGAGGCAAGCAAAGGGCCGCATCTGGCCCTCGGGCCACAAATTGGAGACCACTGGCTTAAAGTATTGATGTTGATGTAAGTAGTTTGCTTCCCAGGCAGGCAGCTTCTACACCCCAAAGGATCTCCATGGTCTCATTGGCTTGCAGTGTAATGTAACAAAAATGTAAATTGAAGTGCCACGTCACTGCTAAAAGGTCCAGATATGACTTTATTTTAATAAAAGTCAGGGGGACAATACAAAGAGGAGCCAATATTCTTCAAGGGTCCAAAAATGCCTCCTTCATCAGGGCTTGAGATTAAAAAGAGCAGGTTGTTGTCAAACCAGCTTCTGACAAGACCTGTGCTTGCAATCACACTGGAAGAAATAACTTTAAATGCTCAGTTGGACGAAATAACTTTAAATGCTCAGTTCACTTCTAGTATATTAACAGCGTAGTTAATCAAGCCCTGATGAAGGGGGTGCTCTTGGACCCCCAAATCATGTTGGCTACATTTAGGATTGTTCACTGGCTTTTATTGAAATAAAGTTGTATCTGGGCGCCTTAGCAGTGGTATAGAGCTTACATTTACATTTTTGTTACTTTGCTTGTATTGAGACCTCACAAGATGTTGTCACATCTGAAATGTCACCTTTGGGCACATATTCCTTTTATGGTGAAA